CTACAACCTCCGCCTTCTGGGTTCAAGTGATTCTTGTGCCTCAGCCTCCCTAGTAGCTGGGATTACAGGTGTGTGCCACCATGCCCAGCCAATTTTTGTATTTTTAGTACAGATGGGATTTCACCATGTTAGCCAGACTGGTCTTGAACTCCTGGCTTCAAGCGATCCGCTCACCTCAGCCTCCCTAAAGCTTACATATTTTATCTCTGGATAGTCTGCCCTGGCTCAGACTTTATAACTTTACATAATAGATATTTTTCTAGTTCTGAAGTGGATGAGAAGGAGGTAACACATGTAATAGAGGTAAGTACAGTAGCAGGGTGTACCAGTGAGAGCTGAGAAGATAACAATGAAAACGTAAGCAGGAAAGCTATAACTAACTGATAAAATTGCTGCAGAAAGCATAGAAACGTCTATTTAGTATAGATGAAAACTGGTCATCACAACTTAAAACTCTACAAGCTATCATTTTAATTAAATGGTATACAAGATTAATGTTCGTGATTATTATGACCGAATTACTATGAGGTTTACAGTAATCTCCCCTTATCTGCAGTTTCACTTTCCAGTTTTAGTTATTCTTGGTCTGAAAAATATTAAATTGAAAATTTCAGTAATAAATAATTCATAAGATTTAAGTTGTATGCCATTCTGGGTAGCATGATGAAATCCTACACCTTCCTTCTCTGTCCTGCCCAGGACGTGAATCATCCCTTGGTCCTGTAGATCCACACAGTATATGCTGCCCACCCATGTAATGGCCTAAGTCATCAGATTAACTGTTATTGACTGTCAAAACTATTGCAGTGTTTGTGTCATTTTACTTAATAATGACCCCAAAGTGCAGGAGTAGTGATGCCAGCACATTGTTATAATTGTTCTATTATTAGTTATTATTGTTAATCTCTTACTGTGCCTAATTTTTATACATTAAACATGATCATAGGTGTGTATGTACAGGCATACCTCATTTTGTTGCACTTTTATTACACTTTTCAGATAACTTTTTTTTTTTTAAACAAGCTGACAGTTTGTGGCAACTCTGTGTTGAGCAAGTCTGTTGGTGCCATTTTTTTTAACAGCATGTGCTCACTTCATGCCTCTATATCACACTTGGTAGTTCTTGCAATATTTCAAGCTTTGTAAATTATTGTTATATCTGTTATGGTGATCTGTGATCAGTGATCTTTGATGTTACTATTGTAATTATTTTAGGGCACCACAAACTGGGCCCATATAAGACAACAGACTTAATTGATAAGTATTATGTGTGTTCTGACTGCTTCACCAACTGGCTGTTTTCCAGTCTTTCTCCCTCTGTTCGGGCCCCCCATCTCCTAAGACAAAAAAAAATACTCAAATTACACCAATCATAACCCTACAGTGGCCTCTGATTGTTCAAGAGAAAGGAAGAGTCGCATGTCTCACTTTAAATCAAAAGCTAGAAATGATTGAGCTTAGTGAGGAAGGTATGTCAAAATGCAAGACAGGCTGAAAGCTAGGTCTCTTGTGCTAAACACTTAGTCAAATTGTGAATGTAAAGGTAAAGTTCTTGAAGGAAATTAAAAGTGCTTGGCTGGGCCTGGTGGCTCTTACCTGTAACTGCAATACTTTGGGAGGTTGAGATGGGAGGATTACCTGAGGCCATGAGTTTGAGACCAGCCCTGGTAACATAGCAAGACCCCCATCTCTACCAAAAAAAAAAAATAGCCAGGCACAGTGGCGAGCACCTGTAGTCCCTAACTTCTCAGGAGACTGAGCCCAGTAGTTTGAGGCTGCAGTGAGCTATGATTGTGCTACTGCACTCCAGCTTGTATGATAGAGCAAGATTCTGTCTCAAAAAAAGAAAAACATAATGGAAATTCAAAGTGCTGCTTCAGTGGACACATGAATGATAAGAAAGTGAAACAGCTTTATTGCTGATATGGAGAAAGTTTTAATGGTCTGGATAGAAGATTAAAGTAGCCATAACAGTCCTTTAAGTCAAATCCTAATCCAGAGCACGACTCTAATTCTCTTCAATTCTATGAAGGCTGAGAGCAGTGAGGAAGCTGCGGAAGAAAAGTTTGAAGCTAACAGAGCTGAGCTCATGAGGTTAATGAAAGAAGCTATCTCCAAAACCAAAGTGCAAGAGGGGCCAGGCACAGTGGCTCAGGCCTGTAATCCCAGCACTTTGGGAGGCCGAGGCAGGCGGATCATGAGGTCAGGAGTTCGAGACCAGTCTGGCCAACATAGTGAAACCCTGTCTCTACTAAAATTACAAAAAATTAGCCAGACGTGGTGGTGTGCACCTATAATCCCAGCTACTCAGGAGGCTGAGGCAGGAGAATTGCATGAACCCAGGAGGCGGAGGTTGCAGTGAGCTGAGATCATGCCATTGCACTTTAGCCCAGGCGATACTGTGAGACTCCGTCTCCAAAAAAAAAAAAAAAAAAAAGTGCAAGAGGAAGCAGCAAGTGCTGATGTAGAAGCTGCAGCAAGTTATCCAGAAGATCTAGCTAAAATAATTGATGAAGCTGACTACACTAAATATTAAATTTTCTTTTTCTTTTCTTTTATTGTTGGTTTGTTTTTGAGACAGGGTCTCGCTCTGTCACCCAGGCTAGAGTGCAGTGGTGCAGTAATGGATCACTGCAGCCTCAAACTCCCAGGCTCAAGCTATTCTCCCAGCCCCCCAAGTAGGAGGGACTACAGACATGTGCCACCACACCCAGCTAATTTTTGTATTTTTTGTTGTTGTTTTTGTAGAGGTAGGGTTTCGCCACATTGCCCAGGCTGGTCTTGAACTCCTGGGCTCAAGCAGTCCTCCTGCCTCTGCCTCCCAAAATACTGGGATTACAAGCGTGAGCCACTGCACCTGGCCTCTTATTTTCAATGTAGATGAAACAGCCCTCTGTTGGAAGAAGATGCCATCTAGGATTTTCATAGCTAGAAGAAGTGAATGCTTGGTTTCAGAGCTTCATGGGATAGGCTTCCTCTCTTGTTGGGGGCTAATACAGCTGGTGACTTGATGTTGGCACTAATGTTTGTTACCATTCTGAAAATCCTAGAGTCCTTAAGAATTATGCTAAATCTATTCAGTCTGTGCTCTGCAAATGGAATAACAAAGTCCGGATGACAGCACATCTGTTTACAGCATGGCTTACTGAATGTTTTAAGCCCATTGTTGAGATCTATCTCAGAAAAAAGATTTATTTCAAAATATTACTGCTCACTGACAATGCACCCAGTCACCCAAGAGCTCTAATTGAGATGTACAAGGAGATTAATGTTATTTTCATGTCTACTAACATAGCACTCATTCTGCAACCCTTGGATAAAGAAATAGTTTGAACTTTCACATCTTGATTATTTAAGAAATACATATCATAAGGCTGTGACTGCCATAGATGGATCTGGGCAAAGTACACTGAAAACCTTCTGGAAAGAATTCACCATTCTAAATGCCATTCATGGAAGGAGTTCAAAATATCCACACTGGCTGGGTGTGGTGGCTCATGCCTGTAATCCCAGCACATTGGGAGGCCAAGGCGGGTGGATCACTTGAGGTCAGGAGTTCAAGACTAGTCTAGCCAACATGGTAAAACCCTGTCTTCACTAAAAATACAAAAAGTATCTGGACATAGTGGCACATGCCTGTAATCCCAGCTACTGGGGAGGCTAAGGCAGGAGAATTGTTTGAACCCAGGAGGTGAAGGTTGCAGTGAGCCAAGATTGTACCACTGCACTCCAGCCTGGGTGACAGAGCAAGAATCAGTCTCAAAAAAAAAAAATACCCTACAAACTTAGTTGATAAAGCATCAGTGGGGTTTCAAAGGAATGACTCCCATTTTGAAAGAGGTAATACTGTGAATAAAATGCTATCAAACAGCATTTGCATTCCTTTCATAAAAGGAAGGGTTGACCCATGTAGCAAACTACTTTGTCTTATTTTAAGAAATTGCCATAGCCACCTCACCCTTCAGAAAGCACCACTGTGATCAGTCAGTGGCCATCAACATCAAGGCAAGACTCTCCATCAACAAAAAGATATTATTCACCGACAGCTCTGTTGATTTTTAGCAGTATTTTTCATTAAGGTGTGTACTTTTTTTTTTTAGATATAATGCTGTTGCACACTTTATTAGAGTACAGCATAGTGTAAACAGAACTTTTTTTTTTTTTTTGAGATGGAGTCTCATTCTGTCACCCAGGCTGGAGTGCAGTGGCACGATCTCGGCTCACTGTAAGCTCCGCCTTCCAGGTTCACACCATTCTCCTGCCTTAGCCTCCTGAGCAGCTGGGACTACAGGCGCCTGCCACCACGCCCGGCTAATTTTTTTGTATTTTTAGTGTAGACGGGGTTTCACCATGTTACCAGGATGGTCTTGATCTCCTGACCTCGTGATCCACCTGCTTCAGCCTCCCAGAGTGCTGGGATTACAGGTGTGAGCCACCACCCCTGGCTGTAAACAGAACTTTTATATACATTAGGAAACCTGAAAGTTCATGTGACTTGCTGTATTGCAAATATTTATTGTGATATTTGCTTTATTGCTGTGGTCTGGAACCACCCCTGCAGTATCTCCAAGGTATGCCTGTATTGGGAAAAACATGGTATAGTCAGCCCTCCGAATCCTGGGTTCTGCTTCTGTGAATTCAATCAACCACACATCGAAAATATTTGGAAAAAAATTGTACCTGTACTGAACAAATAGGCATTTTTTCTTGTCATTATCCCCTAAAAGGGGATAACAATTATTTACATAGTATACATTGTATTAGGTATTATCAATAATCTAGAGATGTCTTAAAACATGTGGGAGGATGTGTATAGGTTATATGCAAATACTATGCCATATTGTATCTGGGACTTGAGTGTCTGCAGATTTTGGTATCCTTAGCAGGTCCTGAAATCAATCCCCCAAGGATACCGAAGGATGACTGTATATATAGGGTTCAGTACTATCCTTGATTTCAGTTATCCATTGAAGGTCTTGGAATGTATCCTCTGCAGATAAGAGGGGACTACTATATAGTCTTTGAGAAAGAAGTGTGTGTTACTATTTTGAAGCCACATCTATATACTTTAAAGCTGATCCATATGATATTGCCACATTTTAAAGTTTATCCATATATTGTTGTATTTCTTAGTGTATACTTTAGACTTTGTATGAAACAAGCCACTGGAATGTAAGCTTCATGATGTCGGGAACATTGTCAGTCTTGTTTATCACTCTATCCCCAGAACTTGAGTACTCAGTATTTATTAAATGAATCAATTAACAATTTTTTGAAGTGCGTAGTTCATTTTAGAAAAATTTACATTGAAGTGTTTAAAATATACTCACAACCTTTCCTTGCATTATTGAAACAAATGAGGTATTCTATAGTCTAAATGTGTATTCCTATGTTTACTATTCTTTTTGGGTAAATTTTTTGGTAGTGTAATTTGTTGTACCTAATTGGAGTGTATTTTATCTTTCTTTTAAGACACATGCCTGGACATACAAGTCGAGAAGTACTAATCATCTTTAGCAGCCTTACAACTTGTGATCCATCTAATATTTATGATCTAATCAAGGTAGACCAAAAAATCAAAACCAAAGTTACAACTCTAAAGAGAATTCTGTAGCAAATTTGTTTTTTTATATATATATATTTGTGTGTGTAATTCATCTTTGTGGTAGATGTAGTGAATTTATTACTAGTTTTCAGAGCATTCTTTATATTTCAAATACATTAATTTTAAATGTTTTTCTTCTTTCCTAAAACTATCTATCTACTTGGATTTTATGAAGACCCTAAAGGCAGCTAAAATTAGAGTATCTGTTATTGGATTGTCTGCAGAGGTTCGCGTTTGCACTGTACTTGCTCGTGAAACTGGTGGTATATATATAATTTCTTTAATATTTGCTCATAATTACTGTGTAGGAAATAATTTATTAATTAAATTAGAATGTTTTAATCTGTTCTGAGCTACCAAAAGTAGTCTAAAATATGGGCAGTCATCTTAAATATATCATTGATTCTGTAAGAAATCATCTCAAAATGCAAAGAGTTTTCAGTACTTATGTCAATATTTAGAGTAAGTAGTATAACTCTTGGAAAGCTGGAAATTTTACTGTATGTAATTCTTTATGAAGATTTTATAACTTGTCTTTAATTAAATTCTAATTACAGGCCAGGCATGATGGCTCTGCCTGTAAGCCCAACATTTTGGTAGGCCAAGGCAGGAGAATCACTTGAAGCCAAAAGTTTGAGATCAGGCTGATTAACATAGTGAGACCTGTCTCTATTTATATGTTAAAATAATAATAATAGTAATAATAATTGTAATTACAGTTATTCCTAGAGAAGTTGGTTTAGATGTATTATTTAAATAAGGTTTTAAAAGTGATAATTTAGCTGAAATCATTATTTTGAAAATGTACATTTTTAGATGATAAAACTTTTACAGAATTACATAGAACGTATACTTCGTTATGTCTGTGAAGCTGTTTTTTTTTTTCCTTTTCATCTTGTTAGGCACATACCATGTTATTTTAGATGAAAGCCATTACAAAGAGTTGCTCACACATCATGTTAGTCCTCCTCCTGCTAGCTCAAGTTCTGAATGCTCCCTTATTCGTATGGGTAAGTGTTTTTATGTTATTAAAAAATATGTATCTAGGCTCTCTATTTTTATTTGCACAAGTTATTTTAATATTTAAGAATTTTTAAAGAAAAAATACGCTTGTTGAAGCAATTTTGGAAAGTACAGAGAAGTGAAAAAAAAAAAAGAAAAATTAAAACTACCAGTAGTCCTGTCACCCAGAAAATACTGTTGGCTTTCTTTATTTTTAAGGCTAGAAAGGTATAAACTGTGTTTATAGAAAAATACTTATATTAAGCTGGACGTGGTGGCTCACACGTGTAATCCCAGCACTTTGGGAGGCCAAGGTGGGCGAATCATGAGGTCAGAAGATCAAGACCATCCTGGCTAACACAGTGAAACCCCATCTATACTAAAAATACAAAAAATTAGCCGGGTGTGGTGGCGGGTGCCTGTAGTCCCAGCTACTCGGGAGGCTGAGGCAGGAGAATGGTGTGAACCCAGGAGGCAGAGCTGGCAATGAGCCGAGATCGCG